AGAGAGAGAGAGAGAGAGAGAGGAAGAAAGAAAGAAAGAAAGAAAGAAAGAAAGAAAGAAAGAAAGAAAGAAAGAAAGAAAGAAAGAAAGAAAGAAAAGAGAAGAGAAGAAAAGAAAAGAAAGAGAAAGAGAAAGAGAAAGAAAGAAAGAGTATGCCCTTTTCTTTTTTATAATGTAAGTTTTAAACTTCTCAAGTCCATACTTGGTACTTAACACTTGAAATTCCTTTTTATTAATAAATCCTAGTAGAAAGTGTCTCAGAAAAATGAAATAGAAAATTTCTCCTCTTCCCCAACAGCTGAAATCCTAAAATCTGGCTCTTACAAAATAGTAAATTGATAAAATTCACAAAAGTATCAGTATTACTCTCCTGATGAAATACAGATATTATTTAAAAATGTAAAGCCCTGTCTTGTGTTCTCTTATATAAAATTCTAGTAATGTCATCTATAGAAAGAAAGCTCTTCTAAGACACCTAACTATCAGAAACTGTAGCTTTGTCCTATGAAAGACTGCAATATGAACGTTTGCGTAAACTTAGTAACTGTCACATTGTAAATCGACGCATTCATCTTCTGACTGGATAATATTTTTCCCTGTAAGCCAGAAAAAAGCTTTAGAATTTCTTGTTTCTTTATATGTAAAGGTTACTAAAGTAAATTAAAATGGACACCAGGCCTGAAGAATGCCTGAGCAGACAAACCCAGTTAAGCCTAAGAATTGACCTTAACCTTGACTGATTTGAAAACATAACTGAAACTTATTTCTGTAAGTCCCTATTTCAAAGAAAACAGAACTTAAACTCAACCAATCAGAAGTAGCCAATGCACTTTCATAACTAGGGACTTTCCAACGGAGTAAATCAAATAAGGCAAATACATAACTGCAACCAATCAAATGATTTGTTTTTGCATTTACCCCATAAAAGTCCAGAATATTAAACGACGTTTGGTTTGATATTTCCCAATTTATGAATTCTTCTTACTCAAATAAACTTTTTAAAGTTTTATTGTGCCTCAAGATTTTTCTTCAACAAAGTACGATAAACCTAAGTGCTGATTATACTCTGATTTCTAACTCAAATGGGAGTTAAAAGTTGGCAGTTATTTGTAAATCAAACATTATATTTTGTTATAATTGTAGATTCAAGTGCAATTTTTAAAAATACCATCTGAGATATCTGCAGAAGTCTAGACAGATTTTCTACAATGGCCCAGCCAGGGCAGGTGCCCCCCTTCTGATGTCTAGTCAAGAGATGGGCATTTAAACAGATATAGTGAAACCACCTTCGAAAAATTACAACTGAGGAAATTATGAAAGTGAAAGAAATCAGACCCAACTGACTCCATCTTGCTTCTAACCTTTAAGCTGTCCTTATTCATTCATTCCTGGGCATAGCCTGAACTAACTTTGGGAAGCAATTCGGTTTACGATTTGACTCTGAAACAAAATTGATAATAGCTCTTTCCCTTGAAGAAACCCTCTTCTTGCCTGGGAACCACTGGGCCTTTGCAGGACTAACAAATTAGCTACAAGATTAGAAATTACAGTTTGGGGTCATGCAGTCTCTGGCTCCAAGAGTCTGAACCTCCCCAGATTGTTCCTGGGGATAACATCACTATTGTAAAACCTAAGGTCAGTGCTTGAGATATTTTGCAGACCCTGCACTCCATGGATCACCTGACACTACCCAGACCTGTAATCTGGCCCAACCAATTCTGTCATCCCACCCAAGAACAGAAGAAAGCAAAAAAAAAAAAAACTCATTCTGACCTCCTGTGATTCTATCTCCAACCTGACTAATCAGCACTGCCCACTTCCCATGTCCCTTCTGCTAAATCATCTTTAAAAAGTCTGATCCCTGAATGCTCCCAGAGACGGATATGAGGAGACAGATTTGAGTAGTAACAAAACTCCCGCCTTCTGCACAGCCGCGTCTGCATGAATCTCTTTCTCCATTGCAATTCCCTTGTCTTGATAAATCGTCTCCATCTAGGCAGCAGGCAAGGTGAACCCACTGGACGGTTACAACAGCACCGCGAGTGCTGAGCTAAGAGCACCGTGTTACAAAAACCGTGGCACACCTCCCTTAAAAACAAGTTTCCCAAGAAAGGTGGGAAGAAAATAAGGGGCTCAGGCCAGATGCCTATCTTCCAAATAAAACGCCAAGCCCTCTTGAGATCACAGCACGTGCGCTTTCCCCCCCAGGCTGGACGGACAAGTGGGATCAGAGAGAGTTGTGTGGGGCGAGGGCGACTGGGTGGCCCTGAAGCAGGCCACTGGGATCCCGTTTCCCTCTCCCTGTCCTTCCAAAAGCCTGTAAGCCACCGACACCTGTGACCTGTCCAGGGGACACCCCTTCTCAGGTCCCCCAAAGTTCTGCAAACTCTGATGGCAAAGGCAGGTCAGAGGCCTGAGACATGTGGGGAGGCATCGCACAGGTTTTTCTTCCATGGCCTGGTCGGAGCGGATGCTCACCCAACTGAGAAGGCCCTGGCGCGGTCACACTGGGTAAATCGAGGCGAAGGCGCTTTTTTCCGC